AATCTTGTTTTATTTTTTATTTTTTAAAATTTACATCTAAATTAGCATCTAGTGCAACAATGATTTCAGGAGTAGATTCCTTAGTGCCCCTTACCCATTTAGCCCATTCCCCCTCCCACAGCCCCTCCAGTAACCCTCAGTTTGTTCTCCATATTTATGAGTCTCTTCTGTTTTGTCCCCCTCCCTGTTTTTATATTATTTTTGTTTCCCTTCCCTTATGTTCATCTGTTTTGTCTCTTAAAGTCCTCATATGAGTGAAGTCATATGATTTTTGTCTTTCTCTGACTGACTAGTTTCACTTAGCATAATATCGTCCAGTTCCATCCAGTTGCAAATGACAACACTTCATTCTTTTTGATTGCCAAGTAATGCTCCATTATATATATATATATATATATATATATATATATATATATCTCACATCAAAGCAGGAAAGAATATCCAATGGAATTGCTCGTCAGCAAGTGGTGCTGGGAAAACTGGACAGCGGCATACAGAAGAATGAACCTGGACCACTTTCTTACACCACACGCAAAAATAGACTCAAAATGGATGAAAGACATCAGTGTAAGACAGGAAGCCATCAAAATCCTCGAGGAGCAGGCAAAAACCTCTTTGATCTTTGCTGCAGCAACTTCTTACACACTGATACTTCTAAGGGAGTTTTTGAGCAAACATTCAGCCACACCCTGGGCCAAGGCAACAGAAACAGAAGGCAATGTGGCTACAAGACATATTTTACAAACAGGTAGAGTTGATGGCTAATTGCACAGAGAATGCAAAGCGGAGACAGCAAAAGACGGCTCTGTGATAGAACCGGAAGGAAAAAAAAATTGTTATAAAATCACCCAAACCCACTTTTGCCATTCTGAGTTGTTGTATCCATTTGACCAAAAAATCAGAGTTTAAAAATATCCTCTTGCTCTGCCTTCTTCGTTAATCCCCTTGGAACAAGCTCCTCCCATAACTATGTAAATCCATCCACAGCTGCATAACTCACTGCTAATGGAGTGAATCCCTGCTGTGATCCGAACTTCAGAGCTGGTGGAAGGGCATCTGGAACAAACAGTCCAAGCAGGGCTTGGAGATGTGTCCTGCTGGACCCAGCAAGTGACAGTCTGTTCCAGATGCACCTGTCTGCTACTTTTCTGTTCCTCACACACAGCAAACCTTTGGTGCAGCTGTTCTCCCTTTTTGCAAGGACTTGGAGGCGACTCTCTGGCGTTACAGATCTAATCCACCTTTCAAATATAAGCTCACACGGTTCTCTGAGTAAGTGTGTCTTGAGCCAGGCTCAGTAACAGCAAGGCAAAGATAAAAGGACACAGGACCCAGTCTCAAGGAGCTCCCCTCAGCTGGGCCTGGGTGTTGTCTCCAAGTTCCCACCTGGTCATTCATTTTGTCTGTAAATGCACTGTGGGCCAACTCCTGAGGACGGGGACACTTTCCGTATTCTTCACAATGCCTATGCACCCAGAGGGGGTGCTCAAATGTACACACTGAGAATCCCACTTTGCATTGTGTGGAGTGAAAGCCTGATAGTATAGTAGTGAAGGGAGCTCTCCATGGAAGTACACAAATTGGATTCAACCCCCCCCCCCCTCCAACTTGGTTCTGTGATTTACCAAGAGGGTGCCTGGAGAAGCTATTTAACCTCTACAGGCCTCAGTTTTCTCATCTGTAAAATGGAGGATAGGTAATAATGGCATCTATTACTTGACGTTAAAGCAATTTGTTGCACTTGGCTTATAGAATGGTCTCAGTGTACATGGCTGCTGCTTTTTTTTTTTTTTTTTTTTTTTTCTTGATTAGAGAGCTTCCAAGAGGCAGGACATAATTCAAAGGGACAGCTGCCTGCCTGCCCCTTTTCTTTCCCACTTTCCTTTTTTCTCTTCTTTTTCACCCTTCCTTCCTTTCATTTAAAAATTTTTTCCTCCCTGTGTCTTTCTCTGCTTCTCTCTCCCATTCTCTCTCTCTTACTCCCCTCCACCTCTATCAGAATAAGGGAAAAATTATTTGTTATAAATCATATTTGAATACAAACACTATTGAGCAGACAGACTCAGTGAGTTAAATCTAGACAGTGTCCTGTTTCCTAAGAAGACAGACCTTATTTTTCTCCTTCTCATGAAGATGAGGCCCTTTTGTGAGGTACCTTTTGTGCAGTCAATTTACTCAGAATTCCCCACCAGTCCAGACCCACTGAGGAACCTGACCCAAAAGCAGTGGAAAGAGAACAAAGCACAAATACGTTTTTTTTTTTTTTTTCTTTTCCGGAATTGCTGACTGATTTCCTGGCAGTGGTATGCTGGCTCTCCAGGAGAAAAAAACACACAAAAGAACGAGAAAGAAAAAGCAAAAGAAAGCCCCAAGTGCTTACCAATCTTTGTGGTGTAAGTACTCCCATCATGGTTGAATTCAAGCTTCTAGCATAAAATCATAGAACACAAAGTAGGGCGAGATGCACACTGTCCCCTCTCAGGAGCCACTCTGGTGCATGCATGCCCCTGAATGCCACTGTTGGAAACATGCAGACACAGCCCCAGTGCATGGGCCTGTCCACTCCCCTCCCACACGGAGGGGCCTGGTCCTAGCCCACAGCACTGCATTTTAGCCAGATTTCTTGCCTCTGTTGTCCATCCCGACGTCCATCTGCCAAACATCCTTCTGCAACCCAGATCAGAATATGACTTCCCTGCTATGTACTCCCCAGGGGCTCATCTCACCCACCCCCCCAGCCTTCCACCACTTCCTTCACTCTTCCCTGGAGCTACTCCAGGCCTCTCATCTTGATGCAAACCCTGTGACATCTCCATGACTTTGCTCACATCTAACTTGCTGCTTGCAATGTTGTTCTCAGAGATCCATTCCTGCTCCTTTGTCTGCCTGGTGAACTGCACTCATCTCCAAGCTAGCTAGGATGGATGCCTATCCCCACTTGCCATTCAGACCCTCTATCCTAAACTACATGGCATCAGTCACTCCCTTCTCAGAGTCCCCTTGACACTTTTCTTTCCTACTCTGTGGTGAGACATGAACCGATTTCTTTTATCTCCAGATACTAAGATAGTGAGGAGGCTATGGGCCCAGTAGTATTCATTCATTCATTCATTCATTCATTCATTCATATATGCATTAAACAAATATTATGGAGTGCCAAGCATTGTCCTGGGAGGAACTAGAGTAGAGTAGAGAATGAGACAGATACCCCTCTTCTCTGGTAGAGTTCATAGCATACTTTGTATAAGCATGGAAGAAATAGGCAAAGATAAATATATAATTGCAAATATGTTCAATGAAGAAAAAAACAGGATATCATGAAAGAAAGTCCCACCCGTGAAAGGTTTTTAAGTTTTCAAGAAACCTGGAATATAACTTTTTAAGTGATGGGGGCCTGACTCAGCACACGAGGCATCATGACATGAATTGTGTTGTGTGGCAGGCCCCCAACTTGCTGGCTTATCAGTCAGAGCAAGAGTGGTGCAGTGTTTGTGTCTGTGGCACACTACACTACATTTCCAAGTCAGCTCTGGTGTCAGGGGTTTGAGCTGAGATGCCCCAAATTGGGGAAGGGGAAAATGAGCATATGCAACACAGGCTTCTGAGAGAAAGTTGGAGAAAGCAGAGAGAAATGTGCATGAGAGCTAGGCAGGCTGCCGAATAAGCACGCTGTTTGTGTGGGGCTCCCTCTCTGTCCCTTCCCCACCCAGATGATGGGGAGAAGGCTGCCTGGGCTGGAAGGGCTTCTCTTTATTAAAAAGGAGCAGGCGAGGGGGGATGGTTGAGCTGTGTTTTATATCTTTGTATCTCTATTAATTTCTTAAAACAGTATCTCCAGTGATAGAAAATTCAGATACAATAGACTTAAGGGAAGAACAAAGAAAGGATGAATTGGTTCACATAATTAAAAAATCTGTAGTTACACCCAATGCCCAGATCTTTGTTTTTAATACCATTCTCCAATAAAATGAACTATGCTCCATGGAGAAATGACTAATTCCAGTACTGAGGCAGAAAGTATACAGTAATGAGTGGAGCACCTTATAGTGCAAAAAGTAAGAAAGTGCTCAAAACTCAAAACACACACACACACACACACACACACACACACACACACACACACAAACATTCAAGGATGCGGGATATCGAAGGGACATAGCAGCCAGCTGAAAAAACACGTTAAAAGTCAAAGCTGGCAGAATTTGAGAAGTACTGAATTAAAAACCAAAGTGTAAAATGAGCCCATACCAATCATCATAAATAAGTGATTGAATAACTAAATAAAGGAGGGAGAAGAGACAAATCTATGCAGTATTCCAGAGTATGTAGATACTCCGTCCACAGTAGGTAGGGCATATTGCCTCATGCCGTAAGTGTGGGCTGCACAAAACACTTCCTTCCAAAAAGTACAATATGGAAAGGGGAGAAGAGTAGCTAATTTACAGTGGAGAAACCTAAAAACATTACTTGACCCAGGTAATTAAGATTGGCGTCAACAATGATAAGTCACGTTGACAGCATGTACCCTTGATAAGATGTGGTAAAAATGGCACTTTTCTATGTGGTCCTCCTCCCCAAAACCCATATCCAAGTCTACTCATATGAAAAACATCAGCAACCCAACTGAGGAACATTCTACAAAACACCTGCCTAGTTTTCCTCACAACTGTCAAGGTCACCAAAAACAAGCCAAGTCTGAGAAACTGCCTTAATCCAGAGAACCCAAAGGAGACATGATTAAATGTAAAGTGATATCCTGGAGAGAATGCTGGAGCAGAAAAGGAACAATGAGTAAAAACCAAGTAACGCCCAATGAAACAGGGACTTTAGGTAAAAATGTACAATATGGGCTTTAGTGTAATGTATCATACTACTGTAGGATGTTAATAATAGAAGAAACTGGGTGTGGCGTATATGGCAATACTCTGGACTATGCTCACCACTTATCTGTAAACCTCAACCTATTATGAAATTAAAAGTTTATTAAGAAATGTTTTTAAGTCCATAGCTCACCAACTCCAGATATGGCTAAAGATAGGATCTCACATGATGTTAACCAGAACTTTCTCTCCAGCTTTCAGATGTTTTGGCTTAGCTTGCAGGCAGCCTCCCTTCATTCACTGGAACCCTAACAAGTCCAGACCTATATGATCCTAGTGGAAAAGAAATTCTCTTCCTAATAATTTCAATCAAAGATTTCAGATGGCATGTACCCATCCCAGAATCAACCAGTGTGATCAGGGGGATGTGGGACTCTTACTGACCAGGTTTAGATCACATGCTGACCTCTGGAGCTAGAGCACAAGGAGTTCAACCCCATCCAAAAGGCTGAGAGCAAAGATAGCTTGTTACTTAAACAAAGCAGGTGTTCAGTCTGGTACTGTGTGCTGAGGGGAGACCAGCTGCTCCCCCTCCACTCATGATCTACCCTCCAGGCCTCTAGGAATTTTCCAGGTTCTATTGAGGAGTGAGACAACATCTTGGCAAATGGGCAGATCTCTGTACCAGGCCACCTTGATGATTTCTGGCCAGCCTATAAGTGGGCCAGCCTTGGTCAATGGCCACCTCTCCTCTAACCAGTGGCTCCTAGGGGGAGCTACTTACCTAAGCTATAGACAGGGTAGTTTCAGCAAAAGAAGAAAGGCAAGACAAATGCTAGGATTGGGAAGTCCTAGAAAATGCCTCACACAGATTTTTGGTGGGGAAAAATTTTATGTTTTGTGTGTCCTTATTTGCTCCTAATTGAGGAGCTTCTAATTCATGTAATTATCTGATTCTAAAGATAATGCCACTTGGTATATACCTTTTCCATCCAATACCTTGGTACAAAAGTGCTGCTTTAGCTTTTGCTGCCTTCCATTGAATTTTAGTCTCTGTACTTTAGCCATAATATATATAAGGTACAACACAAAAGGCTTCTTTTATGAAGCGTTGTCACCAACATGTCAGCCCAGTGTCAAAGTGGCTCCAGGGAGAAAGATGGAAATAGACCGGTTCCATCTATGCATGCTGGAAGCGTACATTAAAACCTCCCATTATTAATCTCTTTGTAAAATATTTCTTCAAGAGTTGTGCATTGCAAAATACAATATAACGTTCATATCAAGTGATACAGGAATTGCTTTAAGCAAAACTTGTTGTACTCTGTATAATGAATACTGCAATAAAAATACATATTCATTTCCTGATCACAAATCATAGCAATTTAAGCCATCTTCTCCCTAACGTTAGTGTTTGGAGGGAAAAATGTATGTGTGGGCCCTCCCCCCTTGAACAGAGGCACATTCTTCTATGGGCGGAAGCCTGTCTACGCGCCATATTGCATGGAGCTCGTTTATTTTTAAGTCTTTCTCATGAGGGTTCGGGAAGTGGTGGTGAGGCCATCATTGGAAACACAACCAAGGAAGCAGTGCTGTGATCATAGTACAGTAGGAAAGGAATCTACTTTTAAAATATGACTTTGTTCAAGTTGTCTCATAACATACTACCTTGAATACATCTTTTTAGTCTTGAGTTTAAAGGATAGAAAAATCCGGGGTGCCTGGGTGGCTCAGTCACTTAAGCGTCAGACTTTGGCTCAGGTCATCATCTCGCAGTTTGTGAGTTCGAGCGCTGCATCGGGCTCTGTGCTGGCAGCTCAGAGCCTGGAGCCTGCTTCAGATTCTGTGTCCCCCTCTCTCTCTGCCCCTCTCCCACTTGTGCTATGTCTCTCTCTATCAAAAATAAATAAATGTAAAAAAAAAATTAAAGGATAGAAAAATCCAAGCCATGAAGGTAGTTTATATTTTCTTAAGTGCTAAACCTTACTTGTTGGGTATTGTTGAAACACAGTTTAAATGACATTATGGTGTGTATCAAATAAGAGGAACTTTTGAGGTCACTCCAGGATTAGGAGAGCAGTGAGGAACACTGATGTTTTTTTCTTTATACCAGGGGAGCAAATAAATGCCAATGACCTCCATCTGTGACCACTGTACCTTCTGGCCATGTCCTCCGAGGATTTGGACAGACCACAAACCTTCACTGGTGTTAGCATGCGACGTGTTCAAAGCATGTCTTCCTATCACCAGAAGTTCCATTTTTCTGGTATCCTAGGGGTCTGTATGCACCCCTCCCATTTTTTTTTCCTCTTTCCAGATCTGAGAGGAACCCTGCTAAGCATATAACAAACATTTGCTCAGTTGTTTCTCTCCTGAGCTTTAGCACAGGGCCTGATACGTGTTTGGTTCTCATAAATATTTGCTAAGTGGGTGAATAAACAACCTACGAGGTTAGGACTATTCTTTGTTTTTCAGGGCTGTGGGAAGATTCACACAGTTATATCTCTCATGTCCTACCTATGCCACCTGTAACAAATTCTCTCATTTGACTCTCCTGTGTCCTACAAGTGGTTTTCAGGATGAAACTCAAGTACATAGATTTTAAGGTGATTTAGAACACATTGAATTAAATAGCAGCTATTGCCCCATTATTATTGGCAGCTTGGAGTTGTGAACAGTTCAACACATTGAATCTGAATGCAACCTAAGAAGTGTATTTTCTGAGAGGCATGGTGTCTGCCCATAATACCTGTTTGCCCAGGAGAGTTAGGATGTTTGCTCTACAGGCAACCTGAGAGATGATTTAGATACAGACTGGCCTCCTG